TACTGGGCCGCGATCCTCGTGAAGGGTGTGCCGAGATGGGTGGGTCGGACGCATGCGGGCGGCGCCCGTGGGACCTTCGGTGGAGCTCCCTTTGGGGCCACGATCCTCGTGAGGGAGTGCCGACATGGGTGGGTCGGATGCATGCGGGCGGCGCCCGTGTGACCTTCGGTGGAGCTCCCTTTGGGGCCACAATCCTCGTGAGGGGAATGCCGAAATGGGGGGTCGGATGCATGCGGGCGGCACCTTCGGTAGAATCCACTATGGGGCCGTAATCCTCGTGAGGGGTGTGCCGAAATTGGCGGGTCGGACGCATGCGGGCGGCACCTTTTGGGACCTTCGGTGGAGCTCCCTATGGGGCCACGATCCTCGTGAGGGGTGTGCCGACATGCGTGGGTCGGACGCATGCGGGCGGCGTCCCTGTGGCCTTCGGTGGAGCTCCCTATGGGGCCACGAAACTTGTGAGGGGTGTGCCGAACTGGTTGACATGCGGAGAGCAGAGGCAGGGATGGGAGGAGGGAGGAGAGGGACGATGAGGAGATGAGGAGGGGAACGCGGGGCGCTCTCTTCAAAACGAGGACCCAACATCACAGGATGGACGAGCAGGAGGAGGAAGAGGCTACTCTTCCGGTTTTCATCGCCCCGCTGATGGTTGCCCAGGCGCTCTCACACTGCAGGTTTTCCAAACTGATTTATGTGTTGACCATGCACCAGGCTCGATGTATTCCTTGCTTCCGCAGCGAAGGGGAGTGGAGAGGAGGAGCGAGGGAGCGGATGCCAATGAGTTTTCGTTGAGCCGGCATGCGGAAGCTGCGGACGCAGCTTCCCTTCAGGCCGAGGGAGGGCTCGGAAGCGACCATGCTGCCACGGCTCTGGCAGACAAGCCGCCAGCGCTCGGGGGGCAGGGGGAGGGCCTCTCATGAGAAGAGCTCTCCTTGGCACGCTCCTCCGCCCCACGCCCCGGCCAACGGCGCAGGAGGTGAGGCAACTCGGGGACTCACCGCGGCGTGGGGCTGCCGTCCACGTATGGGTTTCCCATAAGTTCGTACCTTCCTGAGGCGAAGTGTGGGACATCCGGGGTCACAGGGCGTCGGACGCGAGCCCCTCGACCTCAAAGGAGCTCTTCCTGGAGCTCTGGGGAGCCCACCGGGCGCCAGAAACCCCTGGGGAAGCTGGCGACCGGTGGGGTTCCCCAGAAGCGTCCCCGCCGAAGCCTGGGGAGGTCGCCAGAAACCCCTGGGGAAGCTGGACCCGCCCGCCGCCGCGACGTATGGGAAACCCACAGGTCGCCAGAAACCCAACAGGGCAGTTTTTAATACATAGGATGTTTTAACATATAAGATGTTTAATACATGATTAATGTATGAAAAAAGTTATGCATGAGCTCATCGTTGTTTTTCCTACTAAACCCTGCACTGTTAATACATGATCCGCACGCGGAGCATGTATCAAAAACGGCACTGCAGGGGATCTGGCGACCCATGGGTCTCCCATACTTCAGAATCTGGACCCCGCTCGCCGCCGCGACATACGGGAAATCCATGGGTCGCGAGAAATCCTAGGGAATCTGGCGACCTGTGGGTTTCCCATGATTCGGAACCTGGACCCCGCTTGCTGCCGCGAGTTACGGGAAACCCATAGGTCGCCAGATTCCCCAGGGGGTTGGAAATCTGGCGACCCATGGGTTTACCATAATTCGGAACATGGACCCCGCTCGCCGCCCCAATTGCGCGAGCGAGTTCGAATGCGAATGTCCCATAATTGTGCGGCGTCTAGAACTGTTTGAAATTCCACCGGGCCGCTGACGTGGGCGAATTCTGGGAAGCCCATAGGTCGCCAGGAACCCAAGGGGGTTCTGGCGGCCTACGGGTTTCCCATAGTTCGGTGACTGGACCACGCCCGCCGCCGCGAATTAAGGGACACCCATAGGACGCCAGAAACCCTAGGGAATCTGGCGACCTAAGGGTTTCCCATACTTCGGAACCTGGACAGCGCTCGCCGCCGCGAATTCTGGGAAACCCATAGGTCGCCAGGAACCCCTAGGGAATCTGGCGACATATGGGTTTCCCATAATTCAGAATCTGGACCCCGCTCGCCACCGCGTATTACGGGAAACCCATCGCTCGCCAGAAACCCTAAGGAATGTGGCGACATATGGGTTTCCCATAACTCGGAACCCGCTCGCAGCCGCGAATTATCGGAAACCCATAGGTCGCCTCATTCCTCAGGGCATTGGGAATCTGGCGACCTATGGGTTTCCCATAACTCAGAATCTGGACCCCGCTCGCCGCCACGAATTATGGGAAACCCATCGGTCGCCAGAAACCCCTAGGGAATCTGGCGACCTGTTGGTTTCCCATAATTCGGAACCTGGGCCCCGCTCGCCGCTGCGAATTATGCGGAACTCATAGGTCGCCAGAAACCCTACGTAGGGAATCTGGCGACCTATGGGTTCCCCATAATTCTGAATCTCGACCCCGCTCGCCGCCACGAATTACGGGAAACCCATAGGTCGCCAGAAACCCTTAGGGAATATGGCGACCGATGGGTTTCTCATAATTCGGAACCTGGACCCCGCTCGCCGCCGCGAATTCTGGGACACCCACAGGTCGCCACATTCCCTATCGGTTTCTGGCGACCTATGGGTTTCCCATACTTCGGAATCTGGACCCCGCTCGCCGCCGGGAATTAGTTATGGGAAACGCTTAGGGCGCCAGAAACCCCAAGGGAATCTGGCGACCCATGGGTATCCCATACTTCGGAATCCGGACCCCGCTCGCCGCCGCGAATCATGGGAAACCCATACGTCGCCAGAAATCCTAGGGAATCTGGCGACCTATGGGTTTCCCATGATTCGGAACCTGGATCCCGCTCGCCGCCGCGAATTATGGGAAACCCATCGGTCGCCAGAAACCCTTGGGAATCTCGCGACCCATGGGTTTCCCATAATTCTGAAGCTTGCCCCCGCTCGCCGCCGCGAATCATCTGAAACCCATAGGTCGCCCGAAACTTTCGGGAATATGGCGACTTATGGCTTTCCCATAATTCGGAATCTCGGCGCCGAGTCGCCCCGGGGGCAACCGTCTATCTGCGGGTTTCCCGTAATTCCGAGATATTGGAAACCCATAGGTCGCCAGAAACACCTAGGGAATATGGCGACCGATGGGTTTCCCATAATTCGGAAGTACGGGAAACCCATATGGACGACTGCCCGGCGTGGGGGGGGGCAGGCAGGGAGCGCTTGCATGGGACTCGTCCGATCCCCACTGCACTGCCTGGCCGACGTACCCCGCAAGTACGAGGCGGTGACAGGAGGGAGGGAGCCGGAGCCACCCCAGGGGGAGGAATCGGCTGCACGCAAGACCGACCCTGGGCAGGAGTGACCTCTGGTGCGCGGCTTTTCGGGGGCCGTGGAGGGGAACGCAGGCGCGCAAGACGCTACTACCGCATTGCATTCGGCAATCGGGGGGCTTCGGTGGGCCCGCACCCAAAGGTCCCTATTTTACGTCTGGGCGACCAGGGGGGATCCGGACCCACTCCGCCCCTGGGGGGGGCAGCTCCTCGCCCTGGACGCAGCCTCGGCGGGGCGCCAAGGGATTAGAGGCCCAGGGACAAAAGAAGGCGCCAGGATCGAAAGAGTCTTCTCAACGGAGACCAGGGCGTCGCGCTGGCGAGGGGCCACTCTTACGTGTGCAGTAGGAGCTCGACCACAAGCAACCTTCCACAAGAAACCCAACCCTGAGACCCCAGGACGTCCATTGATTTTTGGTGTGGCAACGTCACGCCTTCCTTAGCAAAACCGTCGAAACCCAAGAAACCCAGGGCAGCCTAGAGGCAGTGGGTTCCCACTGCAGTCGAAGGACGGCGGGAAGAGGAGGGGAACGGGAGGCCCTGCCCGACCCCACCCGCGCGCCCAGAGCGCCAGGCATGGGGGAGGGAGCCGAAGAGAGGAGCGAGAGATGGAGTAGGGAATCGATTACAGAATTGATTAATCCCAGAATTGATTTGTTCGTCGAATCTACGGAAAATGCGTATAGAATGTTTGTAGATCTCCGAACATTATGCGTCTTTTCCTGCACATGCGATGAGAAAATCAATTTTGGGGTGAATCAATTCTGCAATCGATTCCCTACTCGAAAAGAGGCGAGGGAAGCGAAGGGAGGCTTGCTCTCGTTTCGGCGGCGAGCGAGAAGGTCTTCTCGGAAGGCGGCGGGGCTTCTCAGAAGCCCTCTGGCCTTTGAGAGGTTCTCTGTGGCTCCGGGGAAGATTTCGAAAACTTCCCAGAGAGGGTCGGGCACGCCTGATCCACAGGCACGACGCCTTGCGATGCCGCCTGGTCGACGCGCGGGTAGGACGGCTGGCCGGCATCCATCACCGCCGGTGCCTCCAAAACGTGAGGCGAAAGGGAGGAAGAGGAGGAGACACAAGGCGAGAAGACGAGGAGGAGGAGGAGGAGGACGAGGAGGAGGAGGAGCAGGAGGAGGAGGGGGGGGAGAAGGAGGAGGAGGAGGAGGAGGGAGGAGGAAGAGGAGGAGGAGAAGGAGAAGGAGGAGGAGGAGGAGACATAGGAGAAGCAAGAGGAGGAAAAGGAGGAGGAGGCGGAGGAGGAGGGGGAGGATCATTCCTTGTCCTCCCCTCCTCCTCCCACTAGTACTCCCCTTTTTCTTCCCCCCTTTATCATCATCACCACCACCATTCTCATCACCATCATCATCCTCATCATTGGCATGTCCCTCCTGCTCCTCCTCATCCTCCTGACCATGCTCATCCTCATTATCATTCCCGTCAACATTACGGATCTCTACTCCTTACCATCATCCTCCTCATACTCCTCTCCTCCTCCTCCTCCGCCTCCTCCTCCTCATCCTCCTCCCTCTTCTTGCGTCGTCCGATCCTGCCTCCCTCCTTGTCCCTCCTCCTCCTCCTTCTCCTCCTCCTCCTCCTAGGCCACCGCGAGGTCAAGAGGTGATTCAGGTGGCCCCCCATGTTCCAGGGAACTTATGTACCCTTCCCTTGTAACATTCTTACCAGCCCGCGCCGCTACACTACACCTCACACGTGCGGCTCGGCCATGTCATCTCTCGCGGTTCTTACTTACAACCCGCTGCACTGTGCTGCGGACAGATTACACGAGATTTGTGCGGAATGCTACAACTTTGATCTGATTGGCCTTGCGGGCACCACCCGCCGCCGCCCCCCAGGATCCACGGAGCAGATGGGCATCATCACCAGCGAGGGTGGGGGCAGGTGCAGGTGTGTGGAGAGCGGGTGGAGGGACGGAGCGGCGTACGGCAACAATTCGACGGGGCGTAAGATAGTCTGGAGGGGTAAATGGCAACATGCACTACTCATAGACATGGCGGAACCACTTGACATATTGCATGGAAGGGGTATATCAGCTACACTGCAACTAGGAGGCCAGCGTGTGAAGTATGTGTGTGTGTGTGCACTAGCCCGCACAACCTAGGACGGGGGCGGAGCGAGGGGGGTACTTCAAAACTGTGAAGACACTGACAGACTGGATTGACCACCAGGCCTCCACAGCAGGCCCGACCACGGCAGTTATCATCGGAGGGGGTATCAACGACGGCATGGGACAGACCCCAAAGGGGGAACCCAGGTGCAGTTGGGCCGTGGGCCCAGGTGGAGCCCCCGAGCGCCTCCCAGGAGGGGCGGGCCAAAGGCTACGCGAGCTGGCCAAGCGCCACCACTTGCACGCTGCAAGCACACATGACTGCTGGAGGTCTACATTCTTCGGCGAAAGACACAAGTCCCAGATCGGTTACCTCTTACTAGCACAGGAGTGGCGGGTGCAGACTAGAACGATGGGACCTTTGTGCCGAATGGGCAGACGTTTGCAGGTTGTTCGTTGTCGAGAGCTCCGCGACCATGTGCCCACCCATGCTGCTACTGCCATGCCACCGGCCTACGGGTACAAGCCACAACAACAACAAAAAACTGGTGGAACCGGCAGGCGCTAGTAGCAGGAGTGCGCAGGAATGTTGGCAGAGCAGAGTTCGTGCAGGAGGTGGAGGAGGAGGTCACGAGGAGGGAGGAGGAGCTGAATGAGACCCGTGCTAATGGAGACAGCAGTGCCATAATCGGAGCCTTGACGGAGATCGTGCATAGAGCAGCGGCGAAACATTTCTGTGAGCGTGCTAGCCGTTGTGAGACCTGCCACCGACTCCAGCAGGAACGACTGGCAGTGCTTGAGATACGACTGACCTCAGGGCGCAGCAGGATGAGGGGACGGAGCAGCAGATGTTGAACACAGAGCCCAGACTCAAAGCGCTCACTAGGAAGTGTGCTAGGATGAGGAGGGAGGCGCAGCAGCAGGTGGGAGCGGAGAGAGTGGAAGAGCTGTAGGAGGCGTGGAGCAGGAGGGACTTGGCGGAGGTGGGACGGCTCAGCAGGCTGCTGGCAGGCACGCAGATGGGCCCACGCCGGCGTAACTACAGGAGCGTGGTGACCAGCATGCCGACGCGAGCAGAGTGGGAGGAATTCTGGAGACTCCCGGAGGCCAAGGAGGAATGGAGGCGCAACCGACCACGAGGGAGGAGATGAGGGAAGAGTATCGTGCCACCACCAACCCCTATCGACCTCACGGCCCTAAACGAAGCCATTGATCTGGCCCAGCTCGACATGAAACGTGTTGCGCCTACGCTGTTCCGGACGGGGCTCCGACGAGCCCACCCACTCGACTCGGCTCCTGCAGAGGCGTGGAGGATGCTACTAACCAAGCCCCCAGATCCAAGATAGAGGAGGTGTAGGACTCGAGAGGCCGAAGGTGTTCCCACGGAACTTCAGGACCCAGCTCGAGCAAGCCTTCCGCCAAATCCGCATCCAGCCAGAAACCCCAGCAGATGGCACATCAGCGAGGCGACGGCGGCGCGCAAAAACAACAAAGTAGGTCCCAAGGACAAGCGTGTGTATCATGTGCTGGACCCACTCAATAAATGCTACTATGCTGCCCAACTGGTGAATGGTGCCGCACAGCTGTGGGGGGACGAGGACTACGGATGTGTGAAGGGACGGAAGAGGGAGGGAGCAGTGATGGCGAGCTTGACCGTACAATCGCGACTGTCACGGGTAGGAGCATCATATGCAGTGGTCTTGAAAGACATGTCGAGTGCATTCGCCAGCAGACACTGGCACAGTATGGACGTTGCCACACAGGAACTCTTGCCGAGGGAGCTTTGGAAGGTGGGGGAGCAGAGATATAGGAGTTATGCTTTCGCAGTGCCATGCCGTGACCAGCCCGACCCTGTGATGATGCGCCCCGCTTGTGGCGGCCTGGTGGGAGATCCACATGTGGTATACAACTTCGTTGCTGTGTTCTCCCACCCTGTGGACCAGTGAAAGCAAGACTGCTTGCTGCAGTTGCCCGCGGACCAGCTGCTGCAGGCGAGCTGCCCCTTCTTTGAGAATCCTCAGTACCTCGGCCCATTCAAATACGCGGGCGACCTCCAACAGATGATGCTCAGTATGTCGCCACGCCCTGCAGAGGACCTTTCCCAGCAAGCTAGCCTGGCTGGCGAACTGCTCGACGCGAGGCTTCAAAAGCTTGGACTGCCACAAAACAGGGACAAACAGGAGAGCCTGATCAGGATCCAGGGGGCGGGCTCAACGGTGCAGTACAGACAGCTTAGGAGCCAAACAACATGCACTTCCTGGGCGCACAGTACAGACGGCACGCTACTTGGGACCGCGCCTTAACACGACACACACGTATGAAGCAGAGCTGCCACAGCGTATACATGCGATGATTCGGGCTTATAAAGAGACGGGGGGGGCTTCTGGTACAACGCTGGGATCCCCTCCAAATGGGAAACGCTCTGTGCTCCTGTGCAAAGTAGTACATACGGGAGTCGGCTTTATGGAGAGCTTCTCGCCCACTGAAGCTGAGTGCAGAGCGCTGGCGATGGCAGCTGCAGGCCTGGCTGGAAAGGCGGTGCGAGGACAGGCCGCTCGACGCTTGCCTGACGGCTCGACTGGGAGTCCTACGAGCTACGGAGTCCTCCGACGCTGGCGGATACTCCCCCTCCGGATGGAGGCGACTGTGCGACGCCACGCTTGGCTCCGCAAAGTCTCCAGATGCCCTGTGCGACACCAACAGCCTCTTACGGCTATCTTCGGACAGCTGGAGATCGAGAGCGACCCGACGGCCTGTGAAGATGATACGCTCCGCCCACTGTGTAACGACTGGGGCAAGAGAAGACTGAAGGACCTTGAGGAGGCCAGCCGCACGGACAGCTGCGTGAGCAATCTAGGAGACCTCGACATCGAGCCAGGCAATTTCTTCGAGCCCGGTTTCTAGGAGGCCCTCAGCAGTCTGGACCCCAAGGATTCCGCCAAGCCTACCGAGCCAAAACCATCCCACCTCCAGGTCTCCACCCAGGGCCCAGGGCAGCAGCAGCAGACGTAGCAGACGAGGAGGAGGTCCTGTCCGAGATTGCCCCGTGGAAGTGCGAGATTGCTGTGGAGACAGCGGCGACACCGACGGTTGCCGATACCTCCGACGCCGCATTGGTGCCGACAGAATACACCAACGAGGCCTTCCCCAGCAGGCACAGCGGCGACCGTTTAGGTTGCCTGGCTGTTCTCCTTGATGTGGCCTCCGACGCCAGAACGGTGTGTGGTGCTTACTTTGGTTCACGTAAGGCCCTGATCTCCCACATGCGAAGCAAACACAAGCTCAGCAACCTCGCCTGCCTCCTCACCTGCAACAACGAGTGCATAAACTGTGGTACGATCTTTGGAGAGAAGAGTACGGCGGAACGACACCTGACGAGAGCGTTTCTTCGTGGACAGTGCCCAGCGGACAGGAGCTGCACCATGAAACCAGCGGAACCCTTCGACCCGAAATGTGCGATATGTGACTACGCCGACAACAACAAACAACAGTTATTCCTCCACCTCCGTAGCCATTTTCCGCGAGCTATCCGACAGCCGCCACCGACTCCAGCAGAGTCGACCCTGCCGGCAGCGCTGCCAGAGCTCCCGCCGGGAGTCCCGAGACCAGATGACGCTTGGATCCGAGGCCGCCGCCCCGCAGGCAGTGATGGCCGTCGACGACGTATTCGCCAAGGGCCCCTCGTGGACGGGCAAGAGGAACCTGACTGCGACGGAGAGCGACCCGCTGAGCAAGAAAGGTAAGGGCAAGGGCAAGGGCATGGGCAAAGGACACCGACCGCCTGGAGCAGATGGCAGTCGCCACGGCGAAGCTGGTGATGGTGGTAGCCAAAGACGTGCAGGACCTGCAGGCCACCGTGTACAAGACGTGGGAGATGAACGCGGAGAAGCCCTTGGCGGTGTCAGCTACTACGACGGGCCAAAGGTACGACGCGGGCGCCAAGGAGCTGAAGGAACAGCACGCCGCGGACAGCAAGGTCGACACCGCAGCGCCGGGCCCCGCGCATCTCGTTGTCGTCGCAGCAGTTGTCGAGGACCTACCCACCCTAGTCAGCCCCGAGGAGAAAACAGTGTTGGAAGAGTTCTGGAAGACGGTGATCTGCCAGGAGGGCTCGGCGATCCTGGGAGAATGCATCACCCACTTCCAGAACAAGAAGAATAAGCAGCCCCACCAGAAGCAGGAGAAAGTGCGGCTGCTATTTTCATTCGACTTGCACGCAAAGAACATGTCCATCGTGAAAGGTATCCTGGTGTGCGAGATCCAGAAGGAGGGGGGCCAGCGCAAGGTGGGCTCGGCGTCTCGCGGACCGCTCCAGCGCGAGCTGAACAGGCTCGTATACCCGAAGGGCCAGACTTCCTGAGCCAGCCAGAGATCGAGCTCGTTGGGGGACGAGTTCAAGCCAGGGTGCTCATAGTCACGCCCAAGCTGGACACCAGGAGCCGAGGGGCGGCTTCAACACCACCAGCTTTCCGTGCAAGCGCGAGGTACGCTGAGCTCGCCGCCGCGCGCCGCCTCCCTGCTGCTCCTGTGCCCAGTCTCCCAGCGCCTATTTTCCAGACGTCTACCGATATTAAACTTCTGACCCTCCGCCCTGCTCCCAAACCTCAACCTCAGAAGGGCAAAGGCCGCAGCCGTGGCAGACGAGGTCGCAACACCGCTGAATAATGCAATTTCCGAGTGCACGCAAGCCTTAGCCCGCCGAGCGCGGGAGTTGGGTGCCTGCACTACCTGTGCGTTTCGTGGCGCCTGCGCACTGTGAGAGAAGGGGCTTGCCTCGATAGACCCAGAGCCTGATTGCGAGCTAGCACACTACGAAGAGAGTGCACCAGTTGAGCAGTTGACGACATGCTGGGTCCGATTCATTGTCTGTCTGTGTCTGTCCTCCTCCTCCTCCTCATCATCATCATCATCACCACCAGCACACGACCACCATCACCACCATCATCATCATCACCACCATCATCATCATCATCATCATCATCATCATCATCATCATCATCATCACCACCACCACCACCACCACCACCACCACCATCATCATCATCATCATCACCACCATCATCATCATCATCATCAGCATCATCATCATCATCATCATCATCATCGTCATCGTCATCATCATCATCATCATCATCCTCATCATCATCCCTCATCATCATCATCATCATCATCATCATCATCATCATCATCATATTACCCCCACCCATCCTCCCCCATCTACTCCCTCCTCCTCCTCCTCCTCCTCCTCCTCTTCCTCCTCATCCTCCTCCTCCTCCTCCCCTCCTCATCCTCACCATCATCGTCATCATTATCATCAATATCAGCATCACCATCGTCATCGGCATCGTCATCGTCATCATCATCAGCAGCAGCATCATCAGCATCATCATCAGCAGCAGAATCATCATCATCACCATCATCACCGTCATCAACATCATCCTTATCATCACCATCACCATCACCATCACCAGTATCATCACCATCGTCATCAGCAGCATCATTATCATCATCAGCATCATCATGATCATCCTCATCATCACCCTCGGCATCATCATCATCATCATCATCATCATCATCATCATCATCATCATCATCATTATCATCATCATCCTCATCATCATCATCATCTGCATCGCCACCACGACCATCATCGTCATCATCATTTTCTTCATCACCATCATCAGCAGCAGCAGCATCATCATAATCATCCTCAGCATCACCATCACCATCATGAACATCCTCATACAAGACGTACCCACCTCGTCGTAATCATCAGCATCACCATCATCGATGCATCACCATCACAGCGTCGTCATCATCAGCAGCATCATCGTCAGCATCATGACCATCATCCTCAGCATCGCCATAGAAACCCTCATCCAGAATCAGCATCATCATCATCAGCAGCATCATGTTCATTATCATCATCAGCATCGCCATGTCCATCATCACCATCAGCACCATTATAAGCATTACCAGCATCATCATCATAATCATCATCATCCTAAACACTCATCAGAGTCGTACACACCTCGTCGTCATCATCAGTACCACCATCACCGACTCATCACAATCACACCATCGTCATCATCAGCAGCATAAGCATCAGACTTATGATCATCATCATCATCATCATCATCATCATCATCATCATCAGCGTCAGCATCATTATCGTCATCGCCATCGGCATCATCATACTCATCATTCCCATAATCATCAATCGTCATCACCAGCATCAGCATCATCAGCAGCCGCAGCATCATCACCATCATAGCATCGTCAGCGTTGCCAGCATCATCACCATCGTCACCGTCACCATCACCATCAACATGATAATCATCAACATCATCATCGGTATCATCATGATCGCCATCATCAGCACCATGATCACCTCTTCATCCTCATCAGCAGCATGATCATAATCCTGATCATCAACGTCATCGTCATCGTCATCCCAATCAGCAGCCCCATAATCACCCGAATCGTCAATCATCATCCTCATCATCATCCGCGGCATCATCAGCATCATCCTCGCCATCATCATCGTCATCATCACCATCATCATCCTCATGTTCCTCCTCGCTCCTTCTTCATCCTCTGGAAAGGCACGCCTGATCCACAGGCACGACGCCTTGAGATGCCGCCTGGTCGACGCGAAGGCCCAACAGCTGGCCGACGCCCACTGCCGCCAGTGCCTCCACAGCGTGAGGGAGAGAGGAGGAGGAGGAGTAGGAGACACGAGGAGGGAAGACGAGGAGGAGAGGGCCCAATGTGAACCCAAGAAGAGGAGGAGGGAAGACGAGGAGGGAAGACGAAGAGGGAAGAGGAGGAGGGAAGACGAGGAGGAGGGAAGTCGAGGAGGGAAGACGAGGAGGAGAGGGACCCAGCAACGATGTTGGAATAAACCCTCCCTCCAAGCTTCCTCTTCACAGGCCCCTATCAGAGTCCACTTCCACTGAGGGGAACTACCCCGCTGGGGGAGAACCGTTGAAAGGCGCCAAGACGCAATTCTGGGGACTTCAACGCCACGGATCAACATGACTCCTGCGCCTTGACGATCCTGAATTGTGCCAGAACGCCAGTCCTGGGACTTCAACTCCGCGAATCAACGTAACTATTGCGCCCTAACAGCCCTGAACCGTTTCAAAAACCCATTTCTGGAAACCCATTTCTGGCTCGTTGACCATGGGAACCCGTGAAGCCGTTGCAAATATCTAACACGAATGCGCGCGGCGCTAAGGCGAGAGCCACACTTTGAAAACGAGCCGGCATCATTCCGCGAAGCTCCTGCACACGTTTAAAACGAATGTACGCGGCGCTCAGGCGAGAGCCGCATGTTGAAAACTGCCCGCCCTCAATGCGTGAAATCCGTGCAATTTGTTTTAAACGAACGTGCGCGGCGCGAAGGCGAGAGCCACATTTTGAATACCACCCGCCCTCTGTCCGTGAAGCTTTCGCACATGTTGAAACGGATGTACGCGGCGCTAGTGCGAGAGCCACATGTTGCAAACGGCCCGCCCTCGATCCGTGAAGCTCTTGAAAATATTTTAATTGAATATGTGCGGCGCCCAGGCGAGAGCCGCAGTTTGAAAACGACCCGCACTCCATCCGCGAAGCTCTTGCAAATGTTTACAACAAATGTGCGCGGCGCTACGGCGAGAGTCACATGTTGGAAGTGGCCTGCCCTCCATCATTGAAACTGCTGCAGCTTTCTAAGCGTCAGGGCCAGACATGGTAATAAGGAAGTTTCAGGCGAAACGCCTGGCCCGCCCGTTCGACAGGCCTCGGGGTGCGACACGGAGGAAATCTTCACAAGGAAAAGGAGTGGCGGAGAGCGGAGAAGGAGGAAGAGGAAAAGGCGAAAGGAGGAGAAGGAGAAGGAGGAGGCGGAGAAGGAGAAGGAGGAGGAGGAGGAGCAGTTGGAGGAGGGAGGAGGAGGACAAGGAGGAGGAGGTGGAGGAAGAGGAGGAGAAGGAGAAGGAGGAGCAGGAGACAGAGGAGGAGCAAGAGGAGCAGACGGAGGAGAAAGAGGATCTTTCTTAGTCCTCTCCCTCCTTCCCGTTCTTCCTGCCCCTCCTCCTCCTCCATTCCTCGGTCCTCCTCCGCCTCCTCCTCCTCCTCCTCCTCCTCCTCCTCCTCCTCCTCCTCCTCCTCCTCCAGCCTCCTCATTCCGCCTCCTCCTCCTCCTCCTCCTCGTGCTCCTCCTCCTCCTCTTTTTTCTCCCTCCTCTGTCGTCGTCGCGTCCTGCCTCCCTCCGTGCGTCCTCCTCCTGCTCCTCCTCAGATTCCCCACCCCCATTCCTCGTCCATCTGATCACTCGTCCTCCTCCTCCTCCTCCTCCTCCTCCTCCTCCTCCTCCTCCTCCTCCTCCTCCTCCCCATCCTCATCCTCAACATCATCCTCATCATCAGCATCATCAACCTTATCATTATCAGCATCATCACCACCATCAGCATCATTATCATCATCATCATCATCATCATCATCATCATCATCATCATCATCATCATCAGCATCATCCTCATCATCATCATCATCATCATCATCATCATCATCATCATCGTCATCATCATCATCATCATCATCATCATCATCATCATCATCATCATCATCATCATCATCATCATCATCATCGTCATCATCATCATCACCAGCGTCATCATTATCATCAGCAGCATCGCCATCATCGTCATCAGCATCAACATCATCATCATGTCACCATCAGCATCACCATCATCAACAGCATCATCACCATCAGCAGCATCATCATCGTCACCATCATCAGCATCATCATCACCACCACCACGCCATCATCATCATCATCAGCAGCATCATCATCAACATCAACATCAACATCATCATCACCACCATCATCACCATGTGCTTCCTCATCATAGTCGTCCACGCCTCGTCGCCATCATCAGCACCATCATCATCTCGTCATCAACATCACATCACCATTATCAGAATCATCATCAGTATCAGCAGCAGCATGTTCGTAATCATTATCAGCATCGTCATCGACATCATCGTCATCATCATCCCATAATCACCAAAAGCCCCACCGCCACCACGACCATCATCATCATCAGAACCATAATCCTCACCATCGCCATCAACCACCATGATCAACATTATTATCATCATCATCATCAGCATCATCAGCGTCCCCATCGCCCCTCTGCGTCCTCGGTGAAGGCACGCCTGATCCACAGGCACGAAGCCTTGCGGCGCCGCCTGGTCGACGCGCGGGTCCAACAGCTGGCCGACATCCACTACAGCCAGTGCCTCCAAAGCGTGAAGGGAAGAGGAGGAGAAGGAGGAGAAGAAGGAGAAGAAGGGGGAGGGAGGAGGCGGAGGACGAGGAGGAGGAGGAAGAGGAGGAGAAGGAGAAGGAGGAGGAGGAGACAGGGGAGGAGCAAGAGGAGGAGGATCACTCTTAGTCCTTCCCGGCTTTCCCGTTCCTCCTGTCCCTCCTCCTCCTCCTCCTCCTCCGTCCCTCGATCCTCCTCCGCCTCCTCTTCCATTCCCTCCTCCTCCCGCCTCCTCCTTCTCCTCGTCGTCATCCTCCTCCTCCGACTAGTACGCCGCTTCCTTTTCCCCCTCCTTATCATCATCACAACCACCATCATCATCACCATCACAATCCTCATCATTAGCATCCCCAATCTGCCCCTCCTCATCCTCCTGATCCTCCTGATCCTCCTGACTATCCTCATCGTCATTATCACTCCCGTCCACAATATCCCTAATCCTGCTCATCATCATCTTCAAAACCCTCTCCTCCACCTCCTAATCCTCCACCTGTTCCTCCTCCTCCTCCTCCTCCTCCTCCTCCTCCTCCTCCTCCTCCTCCTCCTCCTCTCCTGCCGTCCATTTCGTCATCCGTTCCTGCCTCACCTCAATCCCTCATCCTCCTCCCCTCCTCTCCTCCTCCTCCTCCTCCTCCTCCTCCTCCTCCTCCTCCTCCTCCTCCTCCTCCTCCTCCTCCTGCTGCTCCTCGTCATCCTCCTCAGGTTGACCCCCCCACCACCTCACCCATGTACTCCCTCCTCCTCAACCTCCCCTCCTCATCCTCCTCATCATCATTATCATCATTATCATCACCATCATCATCATCATCATCATCATCATCATCATCATCATCATCATCGTCATCATCATCATCAGCATCATCATCACTACCACCACCACCATCATCATCATCATCATCAGCAGCAGCAGCGTCGTCGTCGTCGTCGTCGTCGTCGTCATCATAATCATCATCATCATCATCATCATCATCAGCAGCATCATCATCATCCTCATCATCATCATCATCATCATCACGATCATCATCATCATCATCATCATCATCATCAGCATCATCATCACCATCATCTTCATCACCACCATCATCACCACCATCACCATCACCATAACAATCACCATCACCATCACCACCACCACCACCACCAGCATCAACATCGTCAAAATCATCATCAACAACATCATCATCATCACCACCGACATCACCATCATCAGCACCACCAGCATCATCATCATGATCATCATCAACAGCGACATAATCATCATCGGCATCATCATGATTATCATCATCACCGTCCTCATCATCAAACATCATCACCAGCATCAGCACCACCATCAGCAGCATGATCGTTGTCATCAGCATCCTCATTAGCAGTGTCCACACCAGCATCAACAGCAGCATCAATATCATCATCATCATCAACAACCACATCAGCATCGTAACCATTATCACTATGGCCATCATCATCATCGCCATCATCATCCGCATCATCACCATGTACATCCTCATCATAGTCGCCCACACCTCGTCGTCATCATCAATACCATCCCTACCTTCTTCAACACCATCACATCGTCATTGCCATCATCATCGTCATCACCGTCTTCATTAACATAATCATCAACAGCATCATCAGCATCGCCACGAGCATTTACGTCAGCATCATCGTCATCATCAGCAGCCGCACCAAAATCATCGTTAGCATTGGCATCAGCATCAGCATTGTAATCTTGATTGTCACCACCATTATCATAATAATCATGGTAATCGCTATTATCATCATCGCTTTCACCTCCGCCATCATCATCAGCATCCGTAGCAGCATCAACATCACCGTCGTCATCATCATCGTCGCCATTATCATCAACATCGTCGTCATCATCACCATCGTCATCATCATGATGGTGGTGTCATGTTGCAGCCCACTCCAGATTTTTAGCACATTTAGAGGCGAGGAGTGCTACAATATATAGTTGGCTGTTTCAGTTTTTTATGTGCATGCGCTCGGACTGCAGCCGCCGCGGCTCTTGGCCTTGGCGGGGGGCGGCGGGGGGACCGCGAGGAACTTGAAACGTTTCGCAGCACGAACGGTTGCGGAGCGAACGAGAGGACACACACACACACACACACACACACGAGGCACGCGTTTTGCGCGCGGGAGCCCCTGGACCATGTTTTCGGGGCTCCAAAAACCAGGCCAGAGAACCCACACGTTTCGGGGGCTGGGGGGGCACAGGCGCCCAGGGCCCCACAAAACAACAGCAGACACCTACTCGTTCCTAGAGGCGCCTAGGCTCCATTCGGGGAAACTCCTGATCTCCCCCCAGCTGTACACTTCCATATCAGTACCCATTCATAACCCATGATGGTGGTTACATGTTACAGTCCATCCAGGATCTTGGTGTATAAAAAGGCGAGAAGCGCTACAATACATAGCTGGCTGTCACAGTTCATGATGTGCATGCTCTCGGCTCGCAGCCGCCGAAGCTCTTCCCGCCCCCGCTCGCGAGCCTTCTGAAGGACATGCAAGTTGTCTCTCCACCCTGTGCTTACAAAATGAAAGCCGTTCAGGACCTAACGGAGAAGATTTCTGGCACTCAGGACAGCCAGAGCAGACTCCCAAGCCCACCATGGCTGCGCGCCCTCAAGAATTCCAGCGGCACGTCACCGGCCAAACACGATTATCTGCAAAACGCTTTCGACTGTAAGATATAGCGCGCGCACACATCGCTGGCCGAGGTGCACCCAGGCTCCCATGAGCCTTGCTGCCGCCAGCTCCTTGTCTGACATGGATACGCACTTGATCGCCGGCAGGGAGGGGCGGCTCAAGACGTCGTTCAACTGCTATAGGATGGCCTCTCTCTCTCTGCCCGCGCGCCAAGGTCGAGGGCGCCCCATACTGGGTTTGCCCATCTGGCCTCAAAAGACACATCGCGGCCAACCGCGCGGAGGCCGAAGAACCCTGATGCGAGCAAGTCGCACGTCGCATGGAGCCCTCGATATTGGCCTAGCCAGCCTAGTTCCTGCCAGGACTCCTGCGCGCGCGGGATAAAAAACCGACGCACTTTCCCAGGCGCGGTCGGCTGGGCCCGCCCCAGGGGGCGGCGCGGCCGCGTCGAGGAAGTCCGTCCGAATCCACTTGAACAGCACGTCGGGGTCGTCCGCCATGCGCTCTGCATGGCGCCGATGTATCGCAAGGTTGACCAGGTCGATTCCTCGCAAGGCCTCGTTGAACAGGCTCACGGACATATCCCAGGACTGCAGCGCGATGTCGCCAGCCCTCCATCCACGACAAGCCCGAGGAGACCGACATCTTCGCCGCCACGCACAGGACGGCGCCGAGGCGCCCGATCGGCGTCGCCAGGTGGAGCCGCGACCGCCGCCCACGTGACCCCTCGGCGGGGGGCCCCCCAGCCGCCGTGGCCCAGGTCGCCGGCGCCCATCGCGTCCGCCGCGAAGTACACAGGCGCGGCCTTGGCCCCCAGGTCGGCGCACATAAGGGACACCACCGTCGCCATGGCCCCCAGCTCCCTGCGCGCGGACATCCAGGGCTCCACCCTCTGCTCAGGGCAGCGCCCAGCAGCCTGAACACGGCGCTCGGGACGCACGACACTTCTCTCCTCAGGAGGGCCCCCCAGATCCACGCGCCAAACAGCAACCCGCGGCCCTCCGCGAACACATGCTTCCCCGCCGCCATCGCCTCCAGCTGCGTCGACAGCTCTCGTGCTCGAGCGGGCGGGGGCCGAAGCTGGGCGGGGGCCCTCTGCGGGGAGTAGCCGGGCACCTCCTGCACGCCCGCGGCCTCGGCACGATCCGCCACCGCGAACCCCGCCTCGGCGAGCGCGTCCGCCAGCACGTGCATAGCGGTCGAGGCCATGCTGTCCCACATCGGCCTCCCGCCATCACCACCCCGTCGTCGACGCGTGAGTGGAAGGCCATCTGCGGGCCGCGCAGCTCCAGACCACGGCCTCTGAGCACGTCCACATTCCTGAGCGCCACTGCAGGTCTTGCGGCACTGCGCTCGCCCCACGCCGTGACTGTCCAGTCCGCCCCAGGCGACCCTCGCCGCCCCGCGCCCCCCGCGCCGCTCCTGCTGAAGTGTCCCAGCGACGCCGGCACCAGGTCGCCCAGCTTCTCGCATCTCCGCCGGGCACTGGGCCAAGGGCTGGCGCGGGGGGCACCGCCCCCCAGCCTGCCCTCGGAGGACTCGCGGGCCCGAGTTCCGTCGCAGCGCGTTCCGCCCAGCTGGTCGAGTCCGAGCACTGCTCCACCGAAGCGAGCGGGCTTCCCCGTCCGTCCGCCCAGCATGCATGGCCCAGGCATGCCCTGGTAGCCCTACGTCGCCGCTCAAACTCCTGCACCTCCGTCGCTTTCCACGTCGACGGGCAGGGCGCGCGCCCTGGACCTCGGGGTGCTCCACGAGGAGGACGCCGCCGCATCGGCCACGCGCCTCGCAAAGCGCCGACAAGTTCAGCGCCAGGGCGTTGCTCTCGGCCACTCCGGCCACCTCCCACGCCCACAGCGGCAGGCCCCGCGGACAGAGCCTCGAGCGCACCGGAGGTGGGCCCGGTCGTCGTCGGTCGCAGCGGGCCAGCGACCAGGCGGAGCAGGGGGAGCCGCCGAGCACCACGGCGACCCAGCCCCCCTCGCACAGCTACATCAGCGACGAGAAAGCGGCGGCGCTGGCCAGGCCCCAGCGGGGGTCGCCCGCTCCGTCGGCCGAGAGGAAGAGGACCCGCAAGCCCCGCTCCTCGGCCCCCCTCCCCACCACCGCCCCCGCCTCGCTCTCTCGCCGGCGCCCCGCGAACGGGCGCATCACCACTGGCGCGCGCTCCACGTCTCTCTTCGCCGCCTTCACCGTCGCGATCCACCCCCCCACTCCGAGGCCGCGCCCCCACGGGGGGGCGGCCCTGCACTTCGCCTGCTGGGTCGCCCAGTCGTCGTCGTAGCAGTGCGCCTGCTCCGCCGCCTCGGGCCCCTCGGGCTGGCGGGCCCCCCCCAGCCCCCCGTCCTCGGGCGGCGAGGCTGCCTCCGCTCGAGCCCTTCCCGAGTGCCGCGAGCCGCGCCCCAGCGCCCAGCAGCGCCCTGCCGATCACCGCCGCGTTGACCGCCATGAGCAGGCGGGCCGAGTGCGAGCCGCCCATGGCCAGGCGGTGGTAGCAAGGAGCCACCCAGCCTGCGGTCCCCAACTGGTCCTGGAGCCGCCTGCTGGGCTTCCCCCAGACCCGGCACGCTCGGACGGGCGGACACGCCTGCCACCTCGCCACCCCAGCTGGGACCCGCAGCAGCGTGAAGGCATTGCCCTCGGCACAAGCCGCCACGCCCCACGCGCCCGTCGGCGCGTACATCGAGGCCAACGCCGCCCCGCCGTGCACCCCGCGGTCGCCTCTGGCGTGGAGGTCGGACCAGAAATAGTTACTCGCGCACATCATGGGGATGACACGCTGCTTCCTGATGTCCTTCCTCGGCCGACGCCGAACCCGCAGTAGGCCCACGCGCCCTCGTCCCCTCGAAGCCCCACACGCCCGTCCATCGGGAGGTCGTCGCGCAGCAGGCACCTCGCGCAGGCGTCGGTCGACCCCGCCCACGAGCGCGGACCGCGCCTTCAGCTCCTCGAAGATCGCGGCTGACCTCCCGCCGAAGCCCAGCACGTTCTTCTCGCTGGAGAAGGCCCGCTCGCCCTCTGGCAGCACCTCCAGCAGGTCGGCCGCGCGGTCGTCCCGAGGCTCTGCGATGGCCAGCGCGCCCAGTGCAAACTGATCGGCGATCCCCTTTTCACTCTTCTGCGCAGGCGCCCTGCGCTCCTCGTCTTGAATCGAGCGCCGTCGGTTGACCGCCACTGTCGGAGCAAGCCCCCGGCAGTCGCGCTCGCACCTCGCCGCGCCCTGTAACGCGCGCTGCTGCACGAGCTTCCAGGTCAACATCTTCCGCGCGCCATCCGTCTCTCGTCGGACCGGCGGTCTCGCCTCCAAAGAACCACATCCCATCCCGTTCATGAGCTCGATGAGCGCGCAGGCCCGACGCCACACAGGCAGGCGTCGGGCCACCCTCGCGCGCGGTCTGCCCGACGAGGATCGACGCTGAAGAAGTCGATTTTGCGCAGGTACGGAGAGGAACTGGGCACTGGCCTCCATCCACTGCAGGGCCAGCGCGCGCGAGACAGGCTGCCCAGTCGCTGGCATCACTGGCTGCCACCGCCGCGGCGGGGCACCACCTCGGACCGAGGGTGGTCTGCAAGTCCCTCGGCCCGCCAGCTCCCGTCAAGCCTGGGGCTTGTCGCGGCCTGAGGGATTGCCCCCTCGGCCGCGGCCCCGCCCCCCGCCGTCGCCCCCTCTGCCCCTGCCGCCAGCTGCCTGGTCGACGCTGCCGCCACTGCCCCCGCTAAAGCCTCCGCCTCGACCGCCTCCGCGACCTTCTCGCTTGCCCGAGGCGGCGACGCGCTCGCACCGCCGATGCCCGGCCTTGCTGCGCGCCGCGGCCTCTGTCACGAGCCACGTCGGCGCGAGGTCCGCTGACGAACCTGGCGGTCGCGCGGCCAGCATGGCCGCCGCGCCCACCTCGTCCTTCGCCCGCATCTCGTAGACGTAGCTGGCCAGCCGCCGCAGGCGTAGCTCCAGCGCGTCGTCCGACGCCAAGCGCGCGAGCACCTCGGTCCGCGAGAGGCAGGTCCCCAACAGGTAGTCAACATTCGTCGCCGCCGCCAACAGGTCGGTCCACGCTGCGGCGCGCCTCTGCCCGCACACATCCTGCGCCAGCCAGTCACGGGCACCGGCCGCCCCCGCTCCTCGCATGGCTCAGTAGATCTCCGGCGCCGCGCGCTTCAGGTCGGGGGGGGGCAAGCTCAGGTTCCACCTCGACTCCTCCTGCTGAGCGGCGGTGGGCGGCGCCCACAACCACTGCGGCCCCCCAGCCAGCCCGTTGCCGCGGCTGGGCGTCGGCAGGCTCTTAGTGTCAGCCCCCACGTAGCCGCAGCACTGCAGCAAGAGTCGTAGGTCAGGGTGCAGGCCCAGAGAGCAGTCCACCGCGTGGATCCTCTCCCAGAAGTACCAGGCCCACTACACGTCGGTGGTCGACCGCGACTGTAGCTCTGTCAGCGTGGCTCGCACCATGTTGGCCTGCATCCCCAGCGTCACGGCGCCCCCTGGCGCGAAGGGCGCGCGTGGGCCACCGGCCCCGCCACTACCCCCAACGGGGCCAGAGGCGGTCGCCTCGCCCACCTCTGGCGGGGCCACCTGTGCACCGGCCGTCTGATTGAAAGGGCCCTGCACCGTCTGGCCCGACCCGAACGCCCGCAGCGCCGCGAGGTCCTGCGCTCCAGGCTTCTCGGCTGTCGCCCACGGACCTGCGGCTTCTGGAGCTGGGCTCTACAGAAGGGCGGGTAGCGCCACAGGGGGGAAACCCCCTGCCCCATCGGGATCGGCCCCGAGGCGGGGGCCGTGGCGGCGGTCGTAGCCCCTGAGTCCTCGCCGTCCGCGCCGATCTCGGCGAAGTACGACACCAGGCCATCGCCGCCGCTGTCGTAAGCACCTGCATAGGCTCGTCGCCGTCGCCACTTGGACCACCACACCACACAGCGTCGGGGCAGTGTCCGTGCCAACACCACACAGCCCGCCAGAATGAGAGGCCTCCCCACACGCGGGTCCGTCCAGCATCCGCCAGGGCCACGGTCGCCGCGCCGGCAGCCAGCAGCCCCAGTCCGCAGTGCAGCATCCAGATCCTCGTCCTCACCGATGGCGCGGGCCCAGATCTTGTTGGCCGACTTCGGCCTGCCGCTCTCGTC